ATCCCATGGAAGCCCAGAAGGATAAAGTGGGACGAGAAGCAGAAGCTTCCAGGCTGGTGGATGTTCCCCAGTTTGGGGCTGACTTTCTCACAGTGTCCCCAGCCCAGGAGGGGTGCCCCAGGGCTGCTCTGCCTGTGGGAAAGCATGGGGTGGGGGGTGGGGTGGGGCCCTGCCAGCCCGAAGGTTCTGGGATTCCTTGCGGCCCCGCCCCAGATGTGGTGTTGACAGGCTCCCGGGGCCCTGGAGAAGCGCTGGTGAGCATCTGCCCAGCTTTCCCCCGCCACGCAGAGGCCAGGTCTCAGGGGACGCGGGTGTGGGGGGAGGCCTGGTCCTCCCAGGTCAGAAGCCGGAGGGCTGCCACATTCACCCGGTGGGAGGAAGGACCGTGCTTGTCCCCGTGTGCACAGAGCTGCTGGTTCCTATGGCTGTCTGTGTGATGTGGGGATTCGGGCTGGCTTTCCCTGACAGCACTCCCTGGGCCTTGGAGCTTTCCACCCCAATTACCCCGGTCCCCAAGGGGTCCCCGTGGGCGGGAGGCGGGCCCAGCTTCCGGCTGTGTGTTGCCGTTCACATTCCCAGCAGCCCTTCTGGGAGGGCTGCGTGTTCGGGCTAGTAGAGGCAGACGTGAAGGTCCGGGGGCTCCGGGGACTCGCGTGCACCGCGGGTGAGCCGACCGCCGGGACCCGGCCTCAGCCGGCATGCTGCCTTCTCTCTGGGCAGCAGTGCGGTGTGCAGAGAAGCCCCAGAGAAGGGGTGGTGGCACGGGACCCCGTTAAACTGTGGGATCCCAGGGTGCCCACGCCCCCACTCTTGGAGCCCACGGGAGGACCTGCAGTGTGTCTGTCGCAATCATTCTCTGGCCTGCTCTTGGGGGGGCAGGGGCCCCGTGGGGAGAGAGCCCGACTGAGTAGCTTAGAGCACGGTGGCCATCTGGGGGCTGTTGTCATTCATCCATGTCTGAGGCATCCCGTTTTGGGGCCCAGCACAGTCAGCGTGTCTGCCCTAGCCGTGGGAGCGGTGCACGCGGGCCCAGCATCGGTCACTACTCGCCCGAGCAGAGTCCTGCCCTGTGTCGTTGCCGTCCGGGGCAGCCGCCCTCTGCATCCCAGACTGTTGAGCGGCACCGCCTGCCTCCACCCACCAGACGGCCCCCACCCCCGCCCCGTCAAGCCTGCGTGTCTCCAGATATCGCCATATGTCCCCTGGCTGCAGAGGGCAGGTGGGTGGTTGAGACCGCACGTGGAGTCTTCTAGAATCTGCCCTCCTCCCAGGAGGGCTCCATGTCTCTTCTGCGCCCCGCCCCTGCTCACCACCGCCGTGGCCACACAGCGCAGCTGCTGATGCACATCATGACGCCCAGGTGTGGCCGCCCCCCCCCCCCCCCCCCCGCTTCTGGCTGGAGCTGGTGGAGACGGGCAGGCGGGCCCTCCCCCCAGCTCTCCACACCTCCCTGAAGACCACCTGCTGTTAGGGCTCCAGCCCCAGCAGGACCCCAGGACAGCGAGGGCAGGCACAGGCCAAGCAGACCCAGTGCCTGCTCCTTGGTGCCCATTGAGAAGGAGGGGCAGCGTGCTTGGCCAGCATTTGGTCAGGAGCCTGGAGAAGCTGCGGGTTTCCCTTCTGGGCCGGCATCCAGCACAGTCTGTGTCTGAACAAAGCTGGGAGCCCTGCCGGGGGCGCATGCACGCTGCCCACTCAGGACGGGTCACTGTCAGACCCCTCCCTCTGTCCCTGGTGTGCAGTGAGGCACGCTGCGTCTACGGGAGGCGATAGGGTGGGCGACGGCCCAGAGGAACTGGGCAGAGGGTTGATTGGCAGCCAGACGCAACAGCCAAATCCTTGGCAGAGCTTTGCCTGCTCCCCACCCCCCAACACACACCACAAGAGAAGCAGGAGGGCTGCCAGGCCCGCGTGGTGCTGCGGGGTCTGGGGGCCGCTGCGGGGTCTGGGGGCGCGGTCCCTCTGTGCGCCTGGATGTCTGCTTTCCTCCGAGGGACTGGGCGCTTTGCAGCCAGGGGGTGAGGTCGCAGACGGCCAAGGGAGGTCCCAGCAGGTGGCCCAACCACACTTGTCCTAGGAATAGAAATCTTTGCAGTCTGTTTGGGAGGGGCCTGGCCGAGGCCCCCAGTGAGATTCTTTCCTCTGTGTTTGGTCAGAGCAGCTAGTATTTCCTTGGAGGAAATCAGGCTGTAAGTCCCAGAAAATACTGTTGTACGTTGGCAGTACCACCCCCCGCGTGACCGTCTCGGACGGCTGTGTGTACGTGTCCCGGCTCAGAGCTGGTGGCCACAGGGAGAGTGGCGCCTGAGGAGGACATCGAGGCTGCGCGGGCCTTCACAGGGCTGAACGCATCTGGTTCTTAGCTGAAAACCACAGGCGGCACGTCCCACCTCGAATCTTATCCCTGTCCTGGCCCTTTATCTGCAGTAGCCAGGATCCTTCTGCGCACCCACACTTCATCTTTCCTGTACCAGGCTGGGTGGCGGCCCCCAAAAGTGACCTCTGCATGGAATGTCTCCAACCCACACATGCACACACGCTGTCACTAATTCAGGGGAGACCAGTTTTAACAGCTGCCCCCAAACGTATATCACAGCAAATGGGAAAATTGTTAAATTTGAAGAGTAAACAAGATACGTAGATGTGTATTCTAGTAGGAAGATGGGGCAGGTTCGTGAGAAAATCGTAGGTTCCAGACATGCGTGCACTATGTGTGAGGGGCCGTTCTTGGGGAAAGCCTTCTGTGTTCCAGAAGCGGCTGTGGGACCTGCATCCTCGGGAGGTCTGGGGGAGTGAGGGTGGTCTCAGCGGCGCCCCCAGACTCTTAGGAGCAGCTGGGGCCCTCTGGGAGGTGTAGGTGGTGTAGGTGGTGTGGACGGGTTCCCAATCCTGGTCCTAGATCCCCCTGCGTGTTGGTGGTTCCCCACCCCCAGGGCAGGTGGCCCAAGCCTCCGTGTCCCCAGCTGCTGGACAGCAGAAACACGTGGACAGGGCCATGGGGCGTGGTGGAGCTCTGCAGACGTGGAGTGCACATTGCAGACCATTTCCATGGGGGAGCCGCCAGGAGGGAGCCCAGGGGGGCTCTGGGAGCTCTCCTAGGTGCTGTTGAATGAAGGGCGCGCTGTCCTGAGCCCACTCTCTGCACGGCCCCCGTCCACCCGGCCTGCTGACCACCCTGTGACCAGGCAGTCCTAGGACCTGGGCCTCCAAGACAGGTCACATGCGGGCAGTGGGTGAGGTTCCGGCCACCCCGGGGCCAAACAGTCTATCACGAGACCGTGGCCACGTCCACCTCCAGCTCAGGTTTGAGATCAAAGGCCTCAGCACACCTGTGGGGTCAGGACAAACAAGCTCAAGGGTGGAGTCCAGAACATGTAGGAGGTCCAGAGCTGCTTTTGAAGGGCAGGCTTCTACTGGGGGAGATAAGGTGTGACGGGATCTCCCTTCAGCAGTCCCCTGACCTGCTGTCATTGTGTCCTGTTTCTGGGGTGACTGAGGCCATCACCCTTGTGGGAGGGTGTGGGGAACCTTGGGCTCCCCAGGGGCCTGAAGACCCACCGGCTGTGGGTCGGGGTCACATCCCTGCTTCGCCCCACAGTGCCTGGGCCCGTGGCTTCTCAGCTGGATGCAACACAGGCCTTCACATGCAGAGCCACAAGGACTCTGTTAGAAATGTCCGCAAACTAAGGAGCAATCCACACCTGACCAAGAGTACAGCCCCTCCTCCAGCTGTGTGTGCCTGGCAGGCGGCCGCCACGGGTGGGCTGAGTGACCGGCCATGTCCCATGTCCCCGTTGCAGCCATCCCCGGAGCCAGGAGCTGGAGAACCATGGGGCCGCCTGGCAGGCTGGCCCCTCGTTACGGAGCAAGTGACTCTGGGCCCGAGGGTACCGGGCGGAGCCTCAGAAAGAGCCCCGGTAGCCAGGGTCCCCCCAAGACCCCCATTTCTAGTCGCATGTGCCAGGTTGGGTGGTGGACCCAAACCCGTGTCCCCTGGGACCTAGAGTGTGCCCTTATGTGGAGAAAGGGTCTTCACGGATGTGTCTGAGGGAAGGATTGAGACGAGACCATCCTGGATCAGGGTGGGCCCTAAACCCAGGGACACGTGTCCCGGTAAGACAGAGGGGAGACACAGCAGGGAAGCCACGAGAGGACGAGGGCAGACAATGGGGCAGTGTGACTGCACACCGGGTCCCCCTGGGCCGCTCCCGGTGGAAACGGTCAGCAGAGAGGTGGACACAGCTCTGCCGGGCCTTGCTGTCATCTGTCCATGCGGAGGACCGAGGCCGAGATGCCCCCAGGGACGGCAGTCCAGGAGGTGCTCACACTGCGTGGCCCCATCACCTCATGCCGCTGCAGTCTGTCGGGCACATCCAGGTTCCAGGGACAGATCTGAGTTGTTCTGAGAAATTTCCGGCTGACACTTGCTGACAGGTCATGCTCTGAGCTCTGTCCCCCAAGCAAGGAACGTGGGTTTAGGGTTAGCAGCCCGAGATATTCCCAGCACTAAGGGGGAGCCGAGACTCAAGCCTAGGTGCTCCTGATCTAGGGCTCAGGTCAGGGGTTCTGCAGGGGTGTCCCCTGAGGTGACTGGGGCGACCAGCCCCTCCTCCTGACCCGAATGAATCGCGGGTAGACACACACATGCCCCTGCCTCCACCTGTCTGGGCATCCCATCCTTCAGCGCACATAGTCCGCTGGTACTTAGAGTGACCAAGAGTGTGCAGAGCTGCCTCCCCCTCACGGGTGGGCTAGGGGCATCTTGGGGGCCAGGTCCCCCGGGTCACTCGTGCCTGCTCGCTCCTGGCCCCAGGTAAGTGTGGGGACGCTGGCCAGGTGGCTCAGCAGGTGCATTGAATTTCTGGCAGCGGAAAGCCTTCACCCCAGCGTTTGTGAATGTGACTGTATTTTGCTCCAGGAACATTCCAGAAGTTGTGGTGAGACCTCTTTGCAGTGATCTGTAACCTGGCATTCCTTTCTGTGTGTTTGGCCTTTGCCAGGTGACGTGTCCAATCTGGATCCTACGTTCTCGTTCGAGGGCACCAAGCTGGACGTGGGGAACATTGTGCTGGCATTGTACAGCGGCCTCTTTGCCTATGGGGGATGGTACGTTCTAGAATGTCGGGGTCTCTGGGCCTTGGGTGGACCCTCAAGGGTCCAGAAATCCGGGCCTCTTGGCCATCCGCGGGCTGTTCGGGGGAACGCAGGCAGGGCTCTCGGGCCGCTGCTCGCCCCACGCGTCCCAGAAAAGTGCAGCCGTGCCCGGGCGCAGATGTGGCTGCTGCTCGCAGCAAGCCTGGTTCCTGTATGCAGACCTTTGCTGACGGGCTCAAAGCCTTTAGGCTCAAGGTGCTGGGCTTGGTGGTTCTTGACCTCTCCCCGCCAGGAGCAAGGTGCCTGCCTACAGCCCCAGCCGACGCCTTCTGTCCCCTGGGTCCCCAGCCGTGGCCCCTGCTCTCGAGCCACAAGAGTGGCTGCGGTGGGTGGGCAGGCCGGCGGCACGGAAGATGCCGGAAAGGGTCAGGCAGCAGACAGGGATGCCTTGTGCTTAGTGCAGCAGGCCTTCCACAGGGACACAGAAGCCGTGAGGGCTGCCCTTCGGGTCTCTTTCCCCACGTGGCCTCGGAGCCTGCCCTCGAGTGCTCGGTGTGGACGTGAAGAGCTGCACACGGAGCGGGTCTGCAGCGGGGGAGGTGCCCAGGGGGCCCCCGCTGCGGGCCGGGCTGTGCCTCTGCCCCGGGGGGACAGAGCATCAGATCACAGGCCACGTGGGGGTGGCAGCACGGACCTCCCTAGGACAGCTGCTCACCAAGGGGGGCCCCGCAGGTGGATGGGGGACCCGGGGGATCTGTGTTGTGGGAGGGATGTGTAGTTAAGTTCGGCTCTCTCATTTCCAGGAACTACTTGAATTTTGTCACAGAGGAGATGATCAATCCCTACAGGTATGAGTACGCACAGACTCGCTTACTTTAACGTGAGAGAAGGAGGAAGCCTGGTTCTGTCTCAGACGAGAGCAGGAGGGGCGCTGGGGCGGGGTGCTGGCTTTGGCCCCACGCTGTCCGCAGGGTGGCCGTGTGACCTGGAGCAAGGCTGCCCCGCGGGACCGGGGCCTGGGGCTGGAGGAGTTGAGTCACTGGCCCAGGTTCACACAGCCGTCCACCTGCCAGCTTCCGGCCCCTTACCCACGCTGGTGGCCGCCTTGCCGCTCACCGCCTTCCCCGCGCAGTGAGGCTCCGGCCCCGGCCCGTGTGTCAGATGGAGCACCCGCTCCCCACCATCCAGTCTGGCCCCGTGCCCGGCTGCCCTTGGATGATGTCCGCCTCCCCCTCCTTCCAGAAACCTGCCCCTGGCCATCATCATCTCCCTCCCCATCGTCACCCTGGTGTACGTGCTGACGAACCTGGCCTACTTCACCACACTGTCCACGGAGCAGATGCTGACGTCGGAGGCTGTGGCCGTGGTAAGACACCACCTCTGAGCCCCTGACGCCGAGCAGACCAGGCCCCTCAGCCGCGAACCACACCCTCCTCGGAGGGGTCGAGCCGAGCTGTGCTTTGCCACCCCCAGAGTCGGGCACTGGCTCTTCACCCGGGCTCACGGGAGATGCGGGGCTTTCAGGCAGTGGTGCCCAACCTCCCCCAGGCCAGCTGTAGGGCAGCACGTGGAGCGATTTGTCGAGCCGAGTATGGGTTTGGGGAAAGGGCGAGTCCCAGGCAAGCGGGGCGTCCAGCCCTGAGCGCAGGGTGGTGCAGCTGGGTGGCCTTCCCCCACCGGCAGCCCGGATGCATCCTGAGTCTCCTGTACTGGGCACCACGGCCCCCGGGTTCAGCGGAGGGTGCGACATGCCCGGGCTGCGCCGAGGTGGCTGGCTGAGTGCCTCGTCAACCCCCAGGCCAAGCAGGGTGGCCCCAGAGCCAGGGGACTCCGCTCTTGCAACACCCACCCACTCTACCTTCTGAATAAACACCAAGTCCTGCTTGGGGGGAGGGGGTGCGGGGGACACTGGGGGCCCAGTCAGAGACAGCTGCGCTCCCTTGAGCGGATGGGCTGTGCTGATGGGGGGACACTGTGCACAGGACCCCCCCTGGCATCACGTGGGGTGACAAGTGCCCGAGACTGGAGGGGACTGAGGCACAGGGCCCCGTGCTGAACCAGGTCCTGTCCCTGGGGCTGCCCCCCGAAGTCCAGACCCCAGGGGGGGTCACTCCGAGTACAGACTCACGATGAGCATGTGGGGAGCCGTGTAGGCAGAAGTGTGCCAGGGACAGGCTGTGAGGACGGCCTGTCGTCTGGCCTGCGAGGCTGGAGCCCTGTGCTCGGGTGCCCGGGGCCGAGGGGCTCATGCTCACTGTGTGCCTAGGAATTCGGGAACTATCACCTGGGCGTCATGTCCTGGATCATCCCCGTCTTCGTGGGCCTGTCCTGCTTCGGCTCCGTCAATGGGTCCCTGTTCACGTCCTCTCGGTGAGCCCGCACCCAACACCCGCGCATCGCCCAGCTGGGGGGGGGGGGCGGCCGCTGCACACCGCCTTCCGACGTGTGCTCTAAGTTTTGTCTTGTCGTGTTTGAGGAATACAGAAATAAGGGAACCATGAACTCTGCTCTGCCCCCCGGCCCCCTGCCCAGAGGTGACATCTGTGTCCCTCTGGACTCTTTCACGGGTTCGTTTCGAAACCCTGCCCAGGGGGACTGGAGATGAGGAAGGCTGTCTTCCCCTTGGCAGCTGAGCCCCTCAGGGACGCCGGGAAGCCCACACAGGGAGCCCGGCCCTTGGGATGGGCCCGCTCTGCTCCCTGCCCTGCCTGGGGGCGCATGGCGAGGAGGCTGAATGCCCACTGCTCTGTCCACAGGCTGTTCTTCGTGGGGGCCAGGGAGGGCCATCTGCCCTCCGTCCTGTCCATGATCCACCCCCAGCTCCTGACACCCATGCCGTCCCTCATCTTTACGGTAAGCGGGCAGTGCCCGTCAGCATCCTGTCCTCCATCCCTGGGACGATGGCTGGCGGGCCGAGGCAGGAGACTGGCGTGACCCTCGGGGCCCGTCGGGGCGGCTTCCCCGTGGAGGCCGGCGGCGGGAGGGGGGCTGCGCGTTCTCCACACGAAGCCTGTCGCGGCCTCGCCTGCTGTCCGCTGGCTGCACGCTCGAGGCCGACACTGAGACACAAATAACCTCCTCACCTCGTGCTTCACAGATTTTTTTTAAGTTTTTAATTCCAAAAATTACACGTAGTGGTCGCAAAACAGAAGACCTGGAAGCGGCGTGGAGGCGCGGGAAGGGGAGCTGCGGGGAGACGGCTGGGTGCGGGCTGCGCGCAGGAGCCACGCGGGCGTGTGTGCAGAGTGCGCTTTTGTCACGAGGTGCTGTGTCTGCTTGCAGTGCGTCATGACCCTGCTGTACGCCTTCTCCAGAGACATCTTCTCCGTCATCAACTTCTTCAGCTTCTTCAACTGGCTCTGCGTGGCCCTGGCCATCGCCGGGATGCTGTGGCTCCGCTACAAGAAGCCCGAACTGGAGCGGCCCATCAAGGTGAGCGGCCCGCCGGGCGGGGGCTCTGGAGAGCCACGCGCCTCGGAGACAGGGCCTGAGTGTCCGCCACTCACGGGCGCTGTGCCTTCAGGCACGTGGCCGGGCAAGCCCCTGTCCCTCCATCTTCCCTCTGCCAACGAGGGGTCAGGGTACCCTCTCCGGAACCTTCTGGTAAGGCTCGAGCCAGATGTGTGTGAACGTGCTTCCAAACTAGACAGAGTTAACTAGTTCACGTGATGGCCATTATTGGGAACCTCTTGAGTGCTGACCACGTGATTCCAGGTGCTGGGGTTCATCAAAGAACAAATGAGACCCCTGAGTCCCCTAGAGCTTCTCTTTTAAGGAGGGCAGAAGTAAGCAAGAAACCCGCGTGCCGGGTGGGGGGTGATGAGCGCTGCAGGGCAGGTGGGCAGGTGAGGCCCTGACTGGCCTGGGGCAGCATCGAACCGGACGGCCGGGGAGGGGCAGGTGCCAGGGCAGGAGGGGAGGCCAGCTGGGCTGCAGGTGGAGGTGCCCGCTGCGCCCGCCCTGGCCTTGGCCTGCCCAGGAGAAAGCAGGGTGCTGGCCCTTGTCAGCCTGGGACTGGGGTCCAGCTTCCCAGGGGTGACCCTGTCTCTCCAAGAAGGCATCTCTCCACCCGCACATCTTGGCCAGCAGGCAGTCGCTGGCTGGCAGCTCCTGTCCCTCGTGCAGCCCCTGCTGGCATGTGGGCCTCACAGTGGGCACCTGTCCGCGGGCCTCCTCCCTGGCTCCCCACCAAGCACCCTTGCAGAGGCCAGCAGGGTCCGGGACGGGTTCTTGGGGGGGGACCAAGGCAACCTTAGTGCCTGGGATCATCTCGGCCCTCGCTTGTCGGGGGCGCTGTCCCAGTGGGGCCGGCGGGGGGGGCAGCATGCCATGTGGGCTGACCTAGTGGGACCCTCGCTCGTCCTTCGCCCCCCCGGGGTTTCTGCCGGTGTGTAGACAGACGGCCGATTCCGGGTGTAGGTGAGCCGGCCCGGCAGAAGCGGGCGGGGGTGCGGGGAGCCGCGCGCGGGCTGTGGGCGCGTCCGCGGCTCCTCCGCTTCGAACGCTGC